GTTATAGTGATGATAGTTGTAGGATTTTAATGATTTATAAGCGATTCTATAAGTGGAATACGAAATATTTGTCGTAAAAAATACTATCATAATACAGTCGAAATGTGTCGCAATATTCTGAAATATTCAGTAACAAATATGTATTATGTTTTTTAATAGGACCATGGGTGCTGTAGAAGATTGTTACACATCTATTTCTGTCCGCTATGATGGTATTTGGCAAAAAGAAAAGGCAATTTTTCTAAAATACACTACTTGGGTCGCGTCAATTACACAGGTACACCTGCAAAATATGGACGAAAATTTTAAACAAATTGTACACCAATATTTTGGGTAAATTACTTAAATGTCCTTACTTTCAAAATGTCAAAAATACCCTTAATGTTAAATTCAAAAAATAGACCTTTTTTATTTGAAAGAATACTTGATAAATCTCTTATAGTTATAGCAGGAATGGAGGAAAATAGAAGCCTTCCGATCTCAGATCTGTGAAGATCTTAAATAGATTGTGTTTGTAGAAATCGGTTTAGTGAACCGGTTTAAATTTTCGAGTTAAGTTTTAACCAATCTCTGGTTTTAAATTTTATCTACGTGTCAATTTATTCTGACGTGTAATCCGACGTGGCGAAGCGGAATAACCTCTCAAACGCCACGTTTGCACTTTTGAATGTCACATCAGCACATTTTGTCTAATTTGTCAATCGACAGAGAGTTCAGGTATTTTTTTATTTCATTAAACAAGTTTGGTGTTTATTTGACAAAAAAAATAGTTCAATGTTTTTTTTACCAAAATTGAAAAGTTCAGTGTTTTTTTTGGGATTATCCCTTATTTAATCTGGTTTTATTCATATATATTTAACTTAATTAATTATTCCATAAAAAATTTAGAATTAATCTCTCATTATCTATATGATCACCTTTTGTAAGTTTTGATAATTTTTTATTTCTTATGTTGCGTGCAACTAATTAGATTTATTGATAAAGTGCCAGACTGATACGGTATATGTACTGATGGAGGCGATTGGATACATTAAATTCCTACATAACCAAATCGAGGTAATGTGAACGCATGCATGTTATACGTAGATACAACCGTGAAACATACCTACATGCATATGTATATACACACATATATATCGGGTGGGTATTTCGGTATTCAGTTTGGGTTTGGTTTAGAAATCATTTGGGTCGGTTGTACAAATGTACCAATCGGTTATTATTTTATATTCGATTCGGTTTCGATTTTTGTTAAGAAAATTTTAGATTTTCTTTAAAAAAAAATTTGGCCTTTCGGATTTTTAATATTCAGTTCGGAGAAATTCAGTTTTCTAAAAAAATTAGCGTTCAAAAATTTTAGACGATTCAATTCGTAATGATACTATATTTTTTGGTTCGGTACCATTCAACAGAATTAAACCATACCGAAACACCCACCTCTATATATATATATATACACACATACATACGTCTTTCTCCCGACATTCTTCATGATTCTTGTTTCTTTGGTATTATTTAATAATGTGGAATAATCCATAATTATTTATACATGCCTATCTAGACATTTAATAAATATTAAGAAGGTAGTCTAAATTCAATGCACTATAGTAATATTTTTTTATACATGCCTATCTAGACATTTAATAAATATTAAGAAGGTAGTCTAAATTCAATGCACTATAGTAATATTTTTTTTCCAATTTAATTAATACCGAAATACCCACCCGATATATATGTGTGTATATACATATGCATGTAGGTATGTGTCACGGTTGTATCTACGTATAACATGCATGCGTTCACATTACCTCGATTTGGTTATGTAGGAATTTAATGTATCCAATCGCCTCTATCAGTACATATACCGTATCAGTCTGGCACTTTATCAATAAATCTAATTAGTTGCACGCAACATAAGAAATAAAAAATTATCAAAACTTACAAAAGGTGATCATATAGATAATGAGAGATTAATTCTAAATTTTTTATGGAATAATTAATTAAGTTAAATATATATGAATAAAACCAGATTAAATAAGGGATAATCCCAAAAAAAACACTGAACTTTTCAATTTTGGTAAAAAAAACATTGAACTATTTTTTTTGTCAAATAAACACCAAACTTGTTTAATGAAATAAAAAAATACCTGAACTCTCTGTCGATTGACAAATTAGACAAAATGTGCTGATGTGACATTCAAAAGTGCAAACGTGGCGTTTGAGAGGTTATTCCGCTTCGCCACGTCGGATTACACGTCAGAATAAATTGACACGTAGATAAAATTTAAAACCAGAGATTGGTTAAAACTTAACTCGAAAATTTAAACCGGTTCACTAAACCGATTTCTACAAACACAATCTATTTAAGATCTTCACAGATCTGAGATCGGAAGGCTTCTATTTTCCTCCATTCCTGCTATAACTATAAGAGATTTATC